TATATATATATATATATATATATATATATATATATATAAATGTATATATCCTTATATAGTAGTCAAAGGACTTTAATGGTAAAAAAGTCTCTTTCAACTCTCTTTCGACTTTTTTTATTTTATTATTAAAACAATAAAAAAACAGAAACAAAAATACCATTAAATAAAAAAACTTTCTTGTCATTACTATTGCAGTTTTTTTAAAAACAATAAAATTAATGTTTTTCTGCATTTTTTAAATTGTTTTAACTTTTAAATGACATTAAAATGTTGCTCATTTTATTGCAACATCAACAATTAAGAAAATGTAAAAAAACATTAGGTTTTATCGTTTCTCAAAAAACCGCAGTATATAAATGACTAAAAAGTATTTTTAATTAAACATTTTAACACACATACTAAAATCTTTGAAATCATTTTGTTTCATTTGAATAATGCAAAATTGCTTTTTTTTATTTGCCCCTTTCAGTAACCATATAAAACTAATTAGTGAATAAAATTCATTTACTTTCATGTTTTGTTCAAACTGGCTATGAATATTGTCAACTTCTTGTATTCCTGAGCTAATAACTTGCAAGTATCATATATGTCACTTTGCGTGGCATGAAAAGTAATATTGAAATTTTATTGAAAATACAGTTATACATGGTATATTTTACAGTACATTTTCCTGCAGGTTGGCATTCTTTATGTAGCTCAAACATTTTGTGGATGTCCACTTAGATTCTAAGTACTTTTTGGCATTTTATCTCTGCAATAATGTGAAATGAGTTGATATGATCATGAAATAAGTTGATCCTGACCATGTTTTTTTGCTTTTCTGAAACAGTAATATTTTTCTTTGTCCTTCGACAATCAGAATTAAAGGTTTTTGTATTTATATTCATATTATAATGAATATAAAATATTTTGTGAAAAACTAAGATTGTCTTAATAAAATGTCTTTCACACTTGTAATTTGTCACTCTTTACATTAAAAAAGAAAAAGTGTAATTCATTTTGGTCTAGTTTGCATATTTTCTTGTAACTAATTTTCTTAAAGTTGATGCTGCAATAAACATATATTTTTCATTCTGAGATAATAAAAAGTATGATTTAAATAATTCATTACTTTCTTTTTTTCAGAATTTTTTTTTGAGCAATTATAAAAACAGTTACTTGAACAGTTTTTTTTATCTGTTTGGTCCTAATTGGTGACTTTCTTTTCAGGCATATATCTTCCATGTCAAACAACGATGTTTTCTTTTATTTTGTTATATTGTAATTACACCATTGAAAGCAAAAATGATTTATATATATTATTTTCTAATACCTTTACCTAATTTTGAAACAATTTTAGACAATTAATCTAAATCAAACAACTTTAACTAGATTATGTTATAGCCTGCTGTTACAATGAAGTGCCTCAACATTATACTGAGGTTTTCATTTAAGAAAAATCTTTATTCAAGTTTTTAAAGTTTTTTTGGTTTGGTTTGTTAGCATTCAATTTAAAACTACAGTATATGGAAGAAACTTATCAATTACCATGAAAGACTATTATATATATATATATATATATATATATATATATATATATATATATATATATATATATATATATATATATATATATATATATATATATATATATATATGTATATATATATATATATATATATAATATATATATATATATATATATATATATATATATATATTATATATAAATAAATATATATATATATATATATATATTTATATATATATATATATATACATATATATATATATATATATATATATATATATATATATATATATATATATATATACATATATATATATATATATATATATATATATATATATATATATATATATATATATATATATATATGTATACACATATATATATATGTATATATATATACATATATTTATATATATATGTATATATATATACATATATATATGTATATATATACATATATTTATATATATATATACATATATATATATGTATATATAACCCTTGGAAATAGGGTCAGCATTCAGCTATGCCGACCTAACTGCCGACCTGAAAGTGTTTAAGGTTGGCAAAAAATTGCCGACCTCGTTTCTATGTTTTATGGTCAGACCTTTGTATCAAATAATTTTTGCCGACCTGATGCCGACCTCAAAGAGATTGAGGTTGGCAATAATTTATTTAAATTTATAAAATAAGAAATTAAAACTTTTAAAGGTACTAATAGTTTCATGCCTAAAGCAGGGTGTCGGCCAGATCAGGGAAATCAGGGAAAATAGGGAAAAGTTAGGGAATTCAGATATCTACAAAAAACTCAGGGGATTATCAGGGAAATTAGGTTAAATTTTAGAAAAATTAGGGAGAAATCAGGCAAAATAGCCTAATTAAATAAGTTGTATATGGTACACGTAATATAAAAGTTTATTTGGCAGATAGTTTTATGAACTTCTCTTGATACATTTAATGTGGGTTGTATTATTGTTTATATTTTTG